CATAAGCTTTCTATTGTGTTGTTTAATTTACTTAAGTCGACATACATAATGAAGCATGATTTATACTTCACACTAGGGCCTGTCAAGACCAAATCTTATATTTGGATTTGTGATTTTTCGGATTACAAGGTACTCTTTTGTTAAAAGTTCTGGACTATAGGAGGTCTTTAGGGAATATTCTATAATCCGACAAATTTGATAGTTCGACACTGACCTACAAAACGTTTGTCGGATTACCGGGGGTCCACTGTAGTGTAATAACAATTACAATATATTACCTTTTTTAAGGAATAATACAAAAGAGGAGCAGTATGGTGTGAACATTCTTCCAAATTTAATGAATTTTTAACAGATTGGCAAATAGTTAAAATTTGAGCAATACATTGTAAAACCCAGCAGGCAATAGAACCAGGTGGACATTTAATTTCTAAAGTCGACAGATCACTTACTGCTTGATAAAGGAATGGTAATGCTCTTTCTGCTACCTATAAATATTTTAAATAGAATATAATATTTAAATAGTTATACCTTATATAATATATAAATTATATTAATTTAATTTATAAAATGTAAAATGTATACATACTAGCCATGGTTTTCGAGCAGCTATTAATAAAGATGCTTGTCGAGAAAATAAATAGCACCTAAATTCTAAGAATGATAATTTTTTTTTCTTGATAGCATCTCTTTGCTTACGACTTATTTTATCAATAAATAAAACAGCAGCCCATCGTTCTAGGGAGCCTTGAAATTCAGTTAACCATTCTGGCACATCTAATATTTTATATTAAGTGTCGAGTATACTTTAAAAAAAAAAAACATTTTTAATTAAAAAAGGATATTTACTCACTTCCAATTAAAGAGTTCAGTATAAATTGTGTATACATAGCATCTAGTTCATCATACTGAACTAATGCTTCATCATGAAGTCCAAGCATTTCTAATGCAAAAGCTAATTCTTCCTAGAAAAAATTACAAATATTTTAAATAAAAATAACATTAAATATTTTAAGAGTTCAATTACCTGATATAAAAAATACTTGCAAAAACTCCAAGATGGATCATTTCTCTGTTCTCTATAACTTCGTATGTAGTCTTCATACTTTAAAAAAAGTCTATCAAATGCAGTTAATGTTAACAGACGTACATTAGTTATTAATGCTCGCCATGCACTACTACCACAACGTAATTCAGATTTTGGTGGATTTATAACAGACAAACAACTATAAATTATTTTTAAAAATGTATTCAGAGAAAAATTTATTTCTAATATTAAAATAAACTTGATTTATATTTACTAACCGATCTGCTTTTTTTTCCGCAAAATCACTTTTAATTTT